CCCCAAAACCCCAAAACCCCAAAACCCCAAAACCCCTTTGTTTGAGTAACAGATAGAACAATTAATTTAACAGATAAATGGGTCTATTTAGCTTTAAGCCAGAGACCAAGAAGGAAGTAGCTCTTAAGTGGATCACTATCCCTCTAACAATGATACTAGTAATGATTGTTGGAGCTCCAGTCAATCTTCCAAATTATTATAAGGAGGCGAAGAACCCTTACTCAGATATTATCAGGTTTTCATCATTAGCTGGCCAATATCTGGTCATTATTCCTGGTTTTCTGTGTAAAAGAGGAATTCAGAGATGAGTCATGGAGATCTCAAGCATTGTTCTTGCTCTTTCATATTGTATTCTTGGATCTTTGGATAAATTCCAGATAGGGATAATTGGGTTTGATGCAGCAATTATCTCATTTGCATGATTCTTAGCGAATTTGGCAAGTACATTGGTGATTTTTATTGCGATTTCTTTATGAATTAGCAATTATTCTCATGAAGAAGACCTCCTTCTCCCGATCATAATTGCGGCTCACCTTGTTACTGCTGGAGAATTTGATGAAAATATCAAACACTTATTATTTAATTTTAACGAGGATTTCCAAATGAGCCTCTTTTTCTTTATAACAGGAGGTTATGTTGGAATTTGCTCTCTGCTGTTATCTCTAACGATCGAGAGAAGGACAATAAAGAGCTTCCTCGTACAGTGGTTCTCTCCAGATACTTTCGGAGTGACTCTTTTTGTGCTTTACTGTGCTTTATTTATTGAAGTATTGGTTGCTTCACAGATCATAGAAGGTAATTACCCAATGACAGTTGCTGTATTCATCATTGGGTGGCTCATTTACCTATATATTCCTTATTTCTTCAGAAGGATCATTCTGGATCAAGGTGTCAAATTGAAAGGATTCAAGATGACTAAAGTAGTGAGAGAGGTCTCACTCTCAAAATGTTTGAAAGACTCAAAGTTCCAACTAATGTGAGTTCTCTCGGCTGTTATAAAGGGAACTTCCCTCACAACTGTGCATTACATCAAGGATATCGGAGTAATTCTCCGAAAATACCATGAAGTGGAACACCTTGAGAAATCATACTGGATAGTAGCTGTTTCAGCAGTGTTCCTTGGAGGAATTCTTGTGGTTTTCTTCAGAAAATCCATTCATGCTTATTTCTTTCTATGAATTGCTCCATTTTTATGAATTTTTGGGTTCTACTACTTCCTTGGAGCAAGTTATGGCCTGATCAGTGTTATTATACCCCAAATAATCCTATTTGGAGGAGGTCACCAGGACTTCGTGCAAACATGGGGTTTCATCTACCTTTGAGACCTCTTCGGGATTATAGCAATGGACCTGATTGTCAGAGCCATTCTTTTATGGAATTATCAGTACAACCTTCTTGTGTATTTTGGTGTCTGAGCATTTGTAAATCTTATTTTGTTTATTGCCTGAATTCGGAAATATTGCCAAAGAAAATTGGCAAGGAAAGAAATAAAGAAACAAAAGAAAGCAAAAAAGGAGAAGAAAAAGAAACTGAAAGAAACAAATAAGAATCCAAAGAAACATAAAAATACAACACCTTTGAAACCGAAAACTAAGAGAAAAAAGAGCTTTAATGCTTTGAATCTTGACACTTCACCCAAGCTTAAGATATAAATTTTCAATAGATTTTGAGTTTACAGGGGTTTTGGGGTTTTGGGGTTTTGGGG